ACCACCCCTCCCCCCAAAACAAAAAAAAAAAAAACAAAAAAAAAAAAAAAAAAAATATCCCCAACCTGGGGACTTCAGGAATTATTTAGGAACTGCAGCAAAACCACCTTAAATCCTCTCCAAAACGATTTGGGAAGCAGAAACAAGTGTACGCCAAGATGCAGGACATCCGGGCTCGCAAACTTGAGCCCACCTAAATCAACACGGGACTGACCCGCCAGCCCCCAGCCCAGCCCCCGGCCCTTGGCTCTGTCCCCTGGACCCTCCGCGCTGTCCCCTGACCCATGGCTCCGTCTCCTGGCCTGTGGCTCTGTCCCCCGGCTCCGCAGGGCTCCGCACCCCCGAAACTTCCCACGGGCAGCGGCTCCTCCGTCCGGGGGCCCGAGTGCGGGGAGAAGGGGCCGGACCGGCTCCCCGGGAGCCCCCGGGACCCCCCGAGACCCCCTTTCGCCCCCGGGCCGGGCTGAGCCCGGCTCCGCTGCCCGATCGCTCCGCAGGGCGCCGCCGCTGCGGGACCAGGTGCGGTGCCGGCAGCAGGAAAACCAGTTTTCAAATCAGAGCGATAATAATGAAAGAGCGCTTCGGGAGGCAGGCAGGGCGAGCCCCGCGGCCGGACACCCCCGGAGCCCTCCCGCTGCCCCCGCCGTACCTTGAGCCCGGGCGGGCGGAGGGGTCCCGCTCCCGGTCCCGGCGGCGCCTCGGCAGCCCCGTCCCGGCGCTCCGAATTAATCGCTCCACCCCGAAAAAAAAAGGGGGAGGTAAGGGGGGAGGGAAGGAGGGGGAGCGGAAAAACCCAACGCAACCACCCCAAAGCCAGCCCCGCTCCACACCCACGAGGAGGGAGAGGGTCCCTCCGTGACTGGCATCGCTATCTCCTCCGGCGGAGCTTGCAGGGAGCCATGGCAACGAGCCCCCGCGCTCCCCACGGCCTCCCCCGGGGCACAGCCACCCCCCTCCCCGGCTCCGGCCCCGCTCCCGGTCCCGGTCCCACCTGCCCGATCCGAATCCCCTCGGCCGGAGCCGGCTGCCAGCGGCACCTCCGCCCCCGCTGCTCCGGGCGGCACCTGGGGATGCAGGGAGGGAGGAGAGGAGCGAGCGAGGGGAGCCCCTGCCCGCCCCCAGCCCGGGGGGGCCGTCCCGCAGCCGGGCAGGTGCCGGGGAGGGGTCCCCAGGGCCGGACAGCCCAGAACCGGGGCGGGAGGAGGAGAACGGAACCGAGGGCGCTGTCCCGGCGGGACCCGGGATGCTCTCGGTCCGGCGGGCAGCGGCGGCTCCGCCGAAATCCAGGCAAGGAGGAGCGAGGCGCTGCCGGGGAAGGGACGGTCCCCGCCTGGTCTCACCCCTCTCTCGGGTGGAGAATTGTCGCTGCTTTTCAGAGGAAAGGATGAAGATTAAGAAAACCGCACCTGGGTTTAGCCCTTCCCCACTCACCCCTCTCCCCTACTAAACCCTCATATACCCAATCATCCTAATGCCAAACCTCTGAAAACCCTCTTTTTTTTTTTTTTTTTTTTTTTGCTTGTTTGTTTGGGGTTTTTTTGTTTGTTTGGTTTTTTTTGGCAAATGCCCCCCCGTGTGCTGTACATGACCACAGAACCGGCTCAGGTTCACGTGTGCGCCCGGACTCTGCCTGGGTGCTTCATTCTCCGAGCCCTGCGTGGAATGGGCTAAATATTTAAGTGATTGGTAAAGACAGTCGTCACAAACGTGCCAGTCATTGTCTTAAGCACTCCATCCCGAGAGATGGGGAAGGTCAGACATAATCATTTTCAAGACGGCTCGGACTCCTCAGACGTTTCTGTCTCGCTGCTGACCTTTGGGGGCTTTGCTTTTCTCTGAGCCTTGCCTAATGCAATGAACAATAATCACAAAGTAACATTCACGGACATTAAACCATAAACTCACCCTACCGAAGCACAGTGGCACTCCCGGGGATTATTAGCATTTAGGTTAAAGATTTTTGGGACAGTGGCAATTGGAATTTGCGGCCAACTGTTGTTGTTTATCTCCTGCAGATTTAAGTAGGTGAGCTTGCCTTTTGGATGAGAAGTAAATAATTAAATTAAGGAACAGCATTATAAAGATGGCAGTAAAAGAAAAAAGATCTGAAAAGTAGAAGGGAAAAGGGCAGAATAGTTTAATATATTTGTTAAGTAAATGCAAAACAGTTCAAACAATGCTAAGTTTGCAGTCATGCAAAGTCAGGCAATTAATACATAGAATTTTTATATTCAAGTATTCATGAGTGAACCAGCACCAATATAAATGCATGGAACAGAGCATGGAAAGCTGCTGGGGAAGCTCTGAAGTTGGGCAGATTTCTGTGTGACAAACGCCCAGCCCAGAGCACACCAGAGGACTGGGAATTCTCCCTTTGGATCCTGCCCTCCACGCCAGATCCTGAATTGAGTCACTGTTCCATCCGAAGACAGTGAAATGTTATATTTACAGCACATTGCTTTCCAAACAACCAACAGCTAAGCAACAGACCTGTGCCCTGTGGGTGGAAACTCGGGCAATAAATGGACAAGGAGGCAGCTCCAGAGGAATGTCTGAGGGCTGCCCATGGATTGAAAAGCCATTTGACCCCCCGTACCTTGGAGCCAGCAGAGATGCACTCCAATCCAGAGGTTTGGAGATTCCCTGGAGCCTTGGCAATAACTGGAAGTGCTGAGGGAGGGAAGCTGCTTGTCTGGGAGCAGAGATAAGAGAGCTGGGAGAGCCAGGGAGAGCTGGCATTGCCCCTGCTGCCATTGCCAGGAGGATGAGAAGTGGAGCCAGTGACTCTCACCGTGTTGGAACCCTGGCTGCTGAGAATTTTGGACTTTCTGTGTTGAAAGGCACAGACCCTCAAGGGAACACTGCATTGACCTGAGGCCGTGGAGAAGGCTTCCAAAATTCATTGATAGGACTGAGATTGTGGGTGTGGAGTTTGAATAGAAGTGTGATATCACATGGTGGAAAACTTAAGAGTTTAAGGTTTTAGAATGTAGTAATATATATAGAGCTAAGATGGAGGTTTTAGGGTGGTGGCTGGTCCTTCTTCTTCACCTTCTTCTTCATGGGTTTTGGTGATATTTTGTAATTGGACAGAAAAGTCCACATTGTGGGACACGGGTGATTAGTTATTGAGTTAAAATTAAAAAATAATTTGGGTGTCATTTCTTAATTGGACAAATTTTCCTTAAAAGACCTTGTAGAGATAGATACGGGGTCATTTTGTAGCTTGTTAGTGAAGTGCTGCAGAGCTGCCAGCTTGTGAGACTGTAACATGGATAAGAAATAACAAACACCTGAGTCTGAGCAGGACACCAACCTCCCCCTGCCCAGCCAGTGCTGAGTTCCCCCCAGGATGCCTGGGCAGCACCAGGAGCTTCCAGACTGATTTTTGCAGGGCTCTGGCAGAAAGAAGAGAGGCACCAATTCCATGACCTGCAGAGACTGCTCGAGGCAGGGCTGCTGCCAAAGTCAACTTCCCAGCTGCCCATCCCTCCATCCCTGTGCCACAGAGGGAGGGAAGCTGGACTTGCAGAGTGCAGCCACCCCTTAGACCTTCATTTCCCTGCTTAGCTGGCCCAGCTCTTAGATCCTCCCTGGCAATGTGATTTTCCCAAGGCCTTCTCCCATGTTCAGGTTTGAGGCCATAATATGGAAAGCATTAAATGGTTTTAATTTTTCCACAAATCATGCACAAAGTTTTTCTTCTGCTAGGAAGCCAGCTGATGGCAAAGCCCCAGGACAGCAGCTTCCCCAGAGCTGCTCCACAGTTGCAAAATAAAATGTGTTCCTGTTAACAATAATAACATGGCACTAGCTGAATCTATTTGAGAATAGGGTTTGCCTTAAGTAAAGTGTAAATAGACATAATCAATCGTGCTTCACATTTCACTGGGCTATGAAATGGGGCAAATGTCGTGGCACTTAAGTCTGCACCAAACAAAAATAAAGACAGAGAAGCTCAGTGTGGTCCTCTCTGCATCTCACAAAACTGCTCTTTATTTTGGGATTTCCTGCTGAAAATCAAGAGGCCTTTTCATCAGACCCTCTGCTTGATGTGAGAATGAGAGACCAACACTGCTGGAAACACTGGAAAAAATTAATTCTCTCTAAGCTGGTACTGATCACATATTTAAAATACACATTACATGCATAATATTGTCTGAAATCAAGTGTGAGAGAACCCCCTGAGAATATTTACCTCAGGCATTGTCTGAAGGAGTCAGGAGGAACAGCAGGTGTGTTTTGCCAATCCCAACTGTAACTTGTTACCTGATTCCTGAGTGTTCTCCCTCAAGACACACCCACCATCTTAAACCCAGTCCCAGAGTCTGGTGGCAGGCTCAGAAGATTCCAAATCCTACTCTAAATGCCTTTTAAGACACATGAAATACTCAGGACAAAAGAACAGATTGGCCAGATTTTCTGTGGAGGAAATTAATTTGCTTGTAATTGCCAGCACATAGCCCATCAGCAGAGATCGTTAATAAAGATGCTGTAATTTTCTGAATAGGTAGATATGCAAAAAGGGGAATGTATTTGAATATCAAGAACCACAATTTGATATGGCCAAAAAAAAAAAAGAAAATAGGATAAGCTTCTGGGAATCTGGTTTGGACAAAAAAAAAATGAATATAGGATAAGCTTCTGGGAATCTGGTTTGGTCCTGGACAAATTAAGTGGCTAAAATAATTGACGTGATGCCATCTAAATTTTGAAATGACGCCCTGCTGCAAGATTTTGCAGTATTTTCCTTAACTTTTGAATTTATAGAGTATTTAAGTTATGTCAGCTGAGATGCAGCTTGAGAGGCACTGAGTTGCTTTGGGAGCTTGGAGCAGCATAGGAAAAGATTTGGACCATTAAGGGAAAAACAGAGAGAGGGTGATGCACATCCTGCTAATGGTTTATTAAGCACAGATCTGAGTGATCTGATTATAAACACACCTCATCAACACTTAGCTTTGAAATGCTGAAAGTTGGACCGGTCTTGACCAGAGAGAAACTCCAGACATGCCAGAAAATTCTCATCTATCCCTTCCTAATGAGGGTCCAGGAGAAATCCACGTGATCAAAGGACAGCAAATTTAAAGAGAATTAAAGGAACTACCACTTTTCACAGTTCAAAGCAATCCCAGGAATTCAGGCTTTGAAGAACCCGGAGTGAAATGTTGGGAGTTGGTTTTTGGTTTTTTTTCTAATCTGATTTTTTTTAAGGCTGGATAATTTTATGACTGCTAATAACATTTGTAACTATGCAAGCTAAGATAATAACAATGGTAATCAAATCTCATGCTTCAGGGCATAAATTGATTGCTTGGAGGGGTTATGGAGAATTTTCTGGTTTTCCCACCACTGAGTTCATGATTTCACAACTGACTAAGTGCATTACAAGGGGGGGGAATTTGCTTCTGCAGCCAGACAATTGATCTAATCTGTAATAACAAATCTGACACCAAAATACAGCGAGCTGCCTGTCTGCTGTGCAAACACCAAGAGATTTAGGCTCAAATTCAGGGAAATATTTGGTTCTTATTTTCCAGTTGGTTTCCTACAGTCCTCCTGTAAGAAAGCAGCAAGATCTAGGTTGAAAGCAAATAAATCCAAAAAAACCAAACAACTCCACAACATTTAAGAGCAGGAACACAGCAGTGCATCTGAAAGATCATTTAGGCAAGGGGGCTCATCCACAGGTTCAGGTCCAAAGATCAGGATGGAAAACAATTCACAGAGTGGGCTGACTCGTGTATCCTATGGCCAAGCACATATTTCCATATGTTTCCTTCAAAAAAGGAGGTCGTGGTCTCTTTTCCTTGAAAAACAGGCACAGCAGGAGATGAGAGAGCTCAGCCTGGGGATGGGGATTTAGGTTTAATTCCCAGCTGGACCAGCAAGCTCCACACAAGTTTGTACTCTGCTTCAGGACAGACTGACTGAGCTCTGGAGAACATTTAATCCAGCAGAAAAGAATTGAAGAAACAGCAGAATTGAAGACTCCCTTGAGCCAAGCTGGGGCAAAACTGGGCCTCACTTTTGTTACAGAATTTATGGAAGGATGGTTAGAGCTCCAGTGATGCCACAACAGAGTATTCCTGATTTTCCAAAGAATCCCAGAGTGGTTCGGGTTGGAAGGGACTTAGAGCTCATCTAGTCCATGGGCAGGGACACTTTTCACTATCCCAAGGTGCTCCAAGCCCTGTCTAACCAGGCCTTGGACATTTCCAGGGATCC